TAGAGTGATAGGGAGACATCTACAGGTATAAGTTTTTTGAGTCTCCTAAGGGCACCAATCTTGGCATAGACCTTTTTTATGACACTCTGAATGTGATCAGCAAATGTTAACTTGTCGTCAATTGTGACCCCAAGGATTTTGAGTGAGTTAGATAACTCGACTCTAGAGTCACCAATGATAAATTGAGGGTCGTAAGCAATATCTCCGATCATCATAGCTTGGGACTTTATGTTGTTGACCATGATGATGATGATTAAGATGATGAGTTGACCATGATGATAAGTTGACCATGATGATTAAGATGATGGTATATTATGATTTTTAGGTCTATATGACAGACCTCTTCATAGGCCACTGAAGTTGACCCCTATTTTACCTCCGCGAAAGAGAAACGAAGTACTCTTATTTCAACGGGTCACTGTTCTGGCTTAAACGAACAACATAGCAAGAAATCAATATTTTCTGAGAGATGAAAGGACCATCTGCTAGCACACAAAATTTAAAAGCGGAATGGCTTCGCGTTGTAGCGTACGAAGTTGCCGAAGTTGCATAATTTTTCATTGGTTTACGGCGGCGGGGGAGTGGACAACGTCCATTCAGGCGTATTTTGAACTTTTCGATTTTTAGGAGAAAAAAAAGCGCGTTAGAACTTTTTGATATCATTTTCGAAAAAGGTTCATTAAAAGGGTCCTTTAGAAAAAAATAAAACGAATTACGAAATTTTGCAACTGTCGGCGGCTTCTCGATATTTACGGTCAGAGGGTCTTAAATGGGTAGCAGTGGATTTAATGTTGGGGGGTAACATCCCATCCAGTGCGGAGTAGAAATACTCCTAGTCGCTTCATGCTACAGGAACGGGAGTTAAGCACCTACCTGATGGGCCATTTGGCTCGTAAACAGACTTTACCTTTTTGTCCAATGGCATATCCCCTTTAGCCTGTTACTGGAAAGTATCTCCTCTCTTGGGCATTGACTTCAGCCATGTTCTGATGACATGCTTTTCCTGGTACAGGATCACTTTCTTTTAAATGAATCTGCAAGGAAAATAAAGTGATGAAATGATACTTGACAACATCCATGTGAAATAGCCATGAAGAAGGTTACGTGATCAGTGTGAATAGTTCTTGCTTCTTTGTAATTATAAACCCTAGCAGGATAATAAGCTGTACCAGGTGTCGATTATAGAGAAAGGGGAGTCCATGCCAATTCCTGCTTACCACAAGGGGGGCCCACACAAGCAGCGTGTCTGGTCGTTTGTTCGGAATATGATGAAATGTATGGGAGAATATTGAAGAGTCGTAATATCGTAATCTTATATCGAGGAATGTCTATGTTAAGGCTCAAAATAAATGTAAACCTACCTCACTTGCCGTGTATTGTCGTTTCTGTGGTTCTAAATGGCGAATTCGAGCAATTTGGTAGATTTTGCGTTGACTGTTACTCTATGTATAAGAAGGAGCGGGTTAGGGTCTCCTGTTTATACAGTAAAGTAACACTCAACGCAAAATCTACCAAATCGCTCAAATTCGCCATTTAGAACCACAGAAACGACAATACACGGCAAGTGAGGTAGGTTTACATTTATTTTGAGCCTTAACATAGACATTCCTTGATATAAGTTTACGATATTACGACTCTTCAATATTCTCCCATACATTTCTTTATATATCGAACAAACGACCAGACACGCCGCTTGTGTGGGCTCCCTGTGTGCTTACCTGACCTCATATTGTTACCTGCACTTCACATACGGCGAAGTTGAAGCTAGAATATTATTATTATTCCGGCATCGTTTAATTTTCTGGTATTTTGACCTATTAAACAGTGTTGTACTGTGGTGTGTTTTGTGCGTACCGTTGCCATATTAAAAAGTTAAAATGGCGTGATAGTTGAGTTATAAATATATATATTTGCTCTTTTGACAGACTAAGGAATATTCATAGTTTATGAAATTGGCAAATCCCTTCCAACCAATGGTGAGGTTTTTCCTAATGCTTATTATTTTAAACCTAAAATCTTGAAGTTCGATGTAAACCTGCATTTCAAATGAGATTTATTTCAGTATAAGGCAAAACTGTTGTTCCTTTCATAATTTCATTAAGTCAGCAGCTTTGATTTCGACGACAAACAAAAAAGATGGATTGTGATTGGAATCACATTAAACAGGCTTCTGTTACCGGTTCTCCGTGACTTTGCTGGTAAGGAACTTTTTAAACACTACACGTCATTGAAGAGCGCCTATGGAGTAGATGCACAGGGTTACTCCACTCACATGAAGAAAGATGGATCATTTGATTTAAACTATGGCAGCATTAACAACAATTGGGGAACATTCAAGAGAAAGGTGCTTCTGTATGATTACAAAGTGACGTCGGCTGAGGATCTGGCCAAACTTTATCTTGAACCACACATGGCCAAGTTTACAGGTCAATAATTGAGTTTTTTAACGTCTCACTCATATGTTCGACACAGAACAACGCTATACGCTTCAATATCAAATCTCTAGTTGATTTTTTCGATAATCATCACTTACATTGGAATACAAGGACGAAGAACAAAGTTTAAAATATATACCTGTGCCAGATCAGCCTGCTTTTACTTATTGGCACGTCGATCTGTCACACAGGTGGCTTGGCGCTAAAGCGTATGCCCAAAAGACTATTGGGCCAACAAGACTGACGTCTTGTTCAGCCGAGTCAAGACTCATACTTGTCAACCTGGAAACTATCCTGAAAGATCAGGTTATTACCTACACAGTCTTTCTCTCTAAGAAGACGTCTACCGATAACTTACCCTGTATGCGTATCTTACTTTTTGCTCTAACCTTAATTATAAATCCCATTGCATATTTTCAGGTTTTGATGGCACATGCGACTTGTCAGCAGTATTGGGAATGCTGGCCAATTCATCCGTGTTTCACACTCGCATCCAAGCAAATGCTAGGGATGTACGTTCCAAAGTAAGAAATGAGTGGGGACACTGTAACTTTGATCACTGGAATGAACCAGACTTCAGCTACAGTTTCCAACTCATGGAGACATTGATTCGTTCTTTGGGCCTTCCAAGAGCCGATGAAGACCAAGTATGTGATGAACTTCAGGAGTGGGAAACCAAGGGTTAGTCATCTCAATAATGAGACGATGATGTGCATGTGGCGCATAAGGCCTTAACCAAATATTTTCGGTGCCTCCCCAGGGTGAGCCCTAGTCTTTTAAATACTTTTAGATGCCTCATCCAGGGTGAGTACCAGTTTTTCTTGCAGCTCTGTGTGAGCTGATCTTCTCCACGTCAGGTTTACTATTTCACGCTCACATTAGCCCTGTGGGGGATTTAACTAGTGTCTTGATAGAAAATGCTAAGTCCACGGTTTTCCTTCTTCACTTTTTTACTTTTTTTCTCTTATGAAACATATGTATGAACTGCGGTTATGAAACGTATATGTGCACGATCCTTCGCAGTAAAGCACTATTTGAGCAATAGTGAAAATCAGACCTGAAAAAATA